GCTACAACAGTTGGTTATAAAAAACTAAAATTAAAAGACGTCGATTGACTTATAAAGCAATTAGTAGAGCATGCATCGTACACTAAACGGAAAATGATTATACTCGGGTTAGATTTAATGCATTCAAAAATTTCCTTCGGGCATTGCAGGCTCTCAGGAAATTTTTTCAAGCATTAAATCCAACCTTCGTATAATAATTTTCCTATAGTGTACTATGCAGAGCTCTACTAATTGCTTATTATTTGATATTATTTTACTTATATTTAAATACATGTAACAGTACACACCATATGTATTCCTTACAAGCTAGTCTTTAGCTTAACTATTTATTGTTAATAATATCCATACTCTTAATAAATAACAAATTTATTAATTTCAATAGATAAGGTGATTAGTATGTACAAATAATTCATTACTCGTTAATTCAAATGGTTTCCATCTCTAACAATTTTTTTTAATTCGCCAGTGTGTTGCATATATTCTTTATGTAAACAATGCTTGTGATTGTGTTTGTAGACGCCGTAATTCAAACAACGAAGTTGTTAGACCAGCTGCTGTTCAAAAACAAGGCATTTTCGACACAGGTTAGATGGTTAAGTTCTGTATATGGAAAAAACTAACTTAAATATGTAACATGGCTAAATCGTTCTCATAATGTCCTAAAAATTCACGATGATTTTCCAGGACACAGACCGCTTCAAAATTATTCCAAGGAAAAGCTTCATTAGAGAACATGTTAAGGGTATCTTACTCAATAATGTCATAGTACTATTCATCATCAACATCATAATCAAAATTATTGTGTATATCTGTTTTCAATAATATCTAAAGAAAATGGAATGATGCCTGCAGTTGAGGGTCATGCTAATATAGTGGATGTGAGAAGTCCGAATGATGAGGATGATGATGCTCCTCCAATTGCAAACGTGTATGCGAACTCTGAACCTGTTTATGGAAATACAAACTTAGAAAATCAGGAATACAGACCGATTGAGTTAGCAAGGCTGCATAATTACGTGAAGAAACAAAACAGCAGCCTAAAAAACGGATTTGAAAAGGAATTTGAGGTATGATTTTACTATTTTCTATTGTATTCGTTCTGAATCATTGATAGTAATGATGAGAATAAAGATGATGTTTTTAGTTTCATTCATTTTTATGGTATATTTTATTTAAAATTTCACAACAAACATACAACCAAATAGAAGCAATACAAAAGTTTAAAAGAATTGCCAAATGTAACATTGTAGCATGAACTAAATTGCGTTATATTGACAAGCTAAAAAAGTATCGCATTAAAAATTCCAATAATTAGAAGGTAAAAAGGCACTGGAGTATAAAACATTCATAAATAATAAACATAAAAATCTGACAATTATTATTTAAATTATCATTATTATTGATATTCATTGTTAATTCAATTATTAAGTTCTTAAAAAACAGTGGCCTAGTTGTTTTGGTGTTAGTATCATCTTCATCTTCTATCACTCATATAATTTGTAGGGAGGTATACATGATCTAATCTTTTGGTAAGACTTAAAACGTTTCTTCCTGATTAAATAAAATGAAATACAGAATAAAACAAAATATAAATGTATTACTGTAGTTTGTCATATATTTTTCTGCGGTTAGATTAAAAGTGATAATTTCTTCATAACAGGACATTGGCAACAAGCCCCTGTATCCCTGGACCGCTGCAAAACACGCCAAGAATAGAACTAAAAACAGATATGCAAATGTTATTCCATGTGAGTATCAATACAATAACATCAATAGCAATGAACATTAGCCCTCATCGTTCATATTAGTGTCATGTTTTCAAAACATTAATAAGTCTGTCAATAACTGTGTTGTTTCCTTTACATTATTGTTTTATTATTTAAAGAGCTCTCCACTTCGTCCCAGCACACAAATTACAATAATATTTGTAAATATTTAGTACTAATTTTTAAACTAATTTACTTGTTTCCACATTGGTGTTTGGGACTGTACCACTGAACGTGTTTGTTTATGCCCAGGTATTCTCATTTTGGCCAATATTATAGTTTTACTTTGCATAATATTTTCAGACAGATGAACCATTATGTGATTTTACTGTTACAAGAAAGCGCCGTTTATCTAAATCATCACCAGACGATACATTGCTTACCATCCATGATGACAGTAGACTATACCACACTTGAAATAATTAATAATTATTTATTTCGCAATATTTAAATAGGGTAGCTCTTACAGCACAAAGGTGGCTTGAAGAGGCCCTCTATGGACAGTAAAGTACACTTATACAAAAGAAAATACAATTCAAGCAAGATAATTTAATACCATAATTGAAAAAAAAAAAAACAAACAAACCAGAAAACCACGGCCAAAGGAAGTCAACAGAAATTATTGACTAAGTTTTAGTGAGGGTTTACTAGTTTTTAAAGAAGAAAAGAGTAGAATAATGAATAAATTTAATTATTAAATTAATTCTTTTATTACCCACATGTGCTTTATTTCTGATTGTACATTGTAAAAATACCCTACGCATCATTCTTTTTATCATTTTAATATCCAACGTAGGTGTGACTACTACTTCGTCAAATCCCATTAAGCCAATTTGTAGTTTGAATTGCATATGCTCGTATGATGATCAGTCGACATTGACAACAAACATTAACGCATCATATATTTATGTCGATTGACCTTGAATACTGGCATGCGCTGTTCAAACTACGAATTGGATTATTTTAAATTAGATCACAGTATCTTAAAAATCTCGTTATAATTGGTATTTTGTTAGATGACAATTCACGTGTAGTACTTGATATGTGGAATAACATTCCTGAGTCAGACTATATAAATGCTTCGTATATAGATGTAAGTATTGATTTTTTTTGCAAGTCAAAATATTTGTCTCAAGCACCAGTACACAGAATGAAATGTTGACTTCATTGCTCTTTCATTGTTATAAAAACCTGGTCANNNNATATATAATAGAAAGAAATCTACAACATTTTTTTTTAAAGTATCATAATAGTGTTTTCGTACAAAATTATCTTGATTACAGTATCATTTTATAGTTGTTACTATTAATACTATTGCAAAAGTTTTAAAGAATTAAACAAAAATATGAGTTAAAAATTAAATATTATATAAATGCCAAATATATGAATAATTCATAAAACTCATTAATACAAAATACTAACAAGGACAGCTACATCAAAATGGCAGTAACGACATTTACAAATGCATACAAAATTTGATCTTGCAAGTGTGTAAACACATAACTACAGTATAACATAAATTAATAGGGCCTACTAGAATTTGTTTATACAATACAGTTACTTAGAATGAGTAACAATTAGTGAACACAATTAATGAACTAACCATACATTAGTTCTCTAATTGTGGTTTCACTCATTAACCTTTCTATAAAGGGTACTGCACTAAGTCTGTAAATATTAATATTGGGCTTCGTTTTATAATTAATGCACTGGATAATTGGCAAATTACTGCAGAGTTCCTTTTTTACATTATAATTAAAACGATTGGAGTGGAGCTGTAGGTTTGTGGTTAAGATGCTCGTTTTTCAAATTTATGGTACAGTATATGGGTTCAATTCTTGCCGAGTGACAAAATTTTTCTCAAGATTCAAACATCCCTACATCCTACACCTTTACAAGAAGACATATTATTTGGTATTTTTTTGTTTGTTTGTATGTTTGTTTGTTTGTTTTTATCTATGCATATCCTACTTGCAGGGATATACGACACGATGTGAGTTCATTGCATGTCAAGGTAAGCAATGATGCGATTTGGAAGGTGGCACTATACAATTTATTTGTTTTTTTTATTATTTTTATATTAGGTATTAGTTTATTTTTATTTAACACCTGAAGTATAAAAAATATTGTGTAACCGTTAAAATGCCATCATTGCATTGGTAAACTAAATCAACTGCGCACTCGTTATGTATAATTTATTCTGCGTTTATAATTTCAGGTCCAAATGTTGCATCAGTAAATGATATGTGGAGAATGATCTGGCAGGAAAAGTCAACGGTTATTGTGGTTGTTACTAACGTCGTTGAAGGAACCAAGGTATTTGTCCTGGGCTGTTAGATAGGGTGGATGGGGTAGGATGAATTAATTACGGTTATAATGTGAAGATGTGTGTAGGACTGAGTGTAGCTCAACCTCATCCTTTGCAAATAAGTTGTAAATTGAAACTATTGTGATTCTTGAATTCATGAAGACTGTTTATTCTATTTATTTTGTAGCGAAAATGCGAGCACTATTGGCCAGAAGTAAATGATGCTAAAATATACGCAAACATTAATGTAGCGAATGTAGGGGAGACCAAATATGGACATTATGTGGTTAGAAATCTACAACTTCAGAAGGTTTGTTCTCAAATTACAGTTAAATCATCAACCTTGTCATCAAGATCAAAATCATTGAAAACTTGTAAGGTTTTTTAGACAATTGTATTGTATGGAGATTGATTCGTAGGCATAGTTGTTTCGACTCAAACAACATCGTTATTCTAAAAGTTTCATCACATCTTTAGTAGCCACTTAGACCAAAGTTTCTTTGTTCTATGTATTAGACCTAAGTGAAAATTCGCTTTTTCTGTTTGTTGGTTGAGAAAAAGAATACATAATGAAAAATAATATATATGAAATATCTACGTTTAAGAAAAAAAAAACGTAAGTATTGACATCCGATTATTTTACGTTGAAGGTTGGGAAGGAAGAGTTACATAATGTATTTCAATATCATTTCACTGATTGGCCAGATAAGAGTGTTCCCCGCACTGTTCCACAATTGATTGACTTCATCTACGCCTTTAGGACAGCACAGCAGAATTCTCCAAGCGACAGTGGACCAGTCATAGTACACTGCAGGTAACATTATAAAAAGATCCATGAATGGAATGTATATATTTTAGATATGTGCAGTGCAGTGCTCTATTTCCTTTACTACAAATAATACAGACATACAAACTTAAGTAGATGTAGATACAAATATGAATACATTTTTTCATGTTTCCCAGCAAACTCCATACACTTTTGGTTGGTATGTCAGAAAAATTGTTTAAACAATGTTGCAGCAACTTGGTTTATGCACTTTCAAAAACATTTTGGCACCAAAATGTATATTATTATAACATCAAATTGAAGCTGAATATTGGTAGATTTTGTACCTGTAATTTATACCATACACTAATATTGTAATGGAGAAGTTAACGTAAAGCTTATAACTTAAACTTCATAGTCCATTTGTGACCTGCTCTAACAATACCATTAAAAGTTGATTTTTATTAATGACCTAATACTTCAGTCTGAAAACAACAGAAATAA